ACTAAACCGCCCTAAAATTATTATTATCACTTTTCTAGGAAAATAAAGCAGGTCGATGAGGCACTTGCCCCGATAAATACGATCCTAATGATGAATACGATTGCCATGTCATACTTAAACTTGAAAGTTCGGTCAATTACGTCCCAAACTTTTCACATTGCTAAGTAGTACTTTTCTAAGCTAACTTGTTCTTTTTTTTCTTTCTTAATATTAATTTTATTCATGACATTATAGTCCTAATAACCTAGTTGAGGGCTTAATTCTTGCCCTACTAGTACTAACCCCACCCCACCAAAAAAAAGCCATATTTCTCACCAGTCGGCAATCACAAGTCACAACCTCTACCGTTTCATCGCCAAGAAAAGAGGCAGGAAAAGTGCAGCCGAAGAACCAGGAACCTACATGGAAATACATGGAAATACCAAAGGAAAACCAACGTGAGCTATTTGTAAAAGCAGCAAAGCCCAAATATTTGTTTGTTATTGTTATTATTATTATTATTATTATTATTTTTGTAGCAGCTGGGAGAATTTCGGTTTGGCAAGGGGTCGGGGTCGGGGCCAGGGTTAAATTTGTTTTTCTGACGGTGCATTGACATTAGCTTGTGGTGTGATCCTTCTTTTGTTTGTTATTCGATCAATTGCATTTGGTATTCTTTCTTTCATAAGAACATGTGAAAGCAGCAAGCTTGTCCTTTCATCATCCTGCTAATTTTAGTAGTATTTAGTAGAACAATGGGATTTTTTTTTCTTGGGTGACACGAAATTAGATGAAATTTCTAAAAAGGTTGAAAAGTAAATGGGTTTGATACTTCCCATGAAATGATCTTAATTTTCTTGACGATGAACTTTATAGGAATTCTTAAATATAATGTTGCATTCTCTTACTGTCGCTGTTAGTTTCTTTTGATTAACATTAATTGGTACTTACAGATGTTCCTTTTTTCTTCTTATGTTGGGTGCCTAAAGAAGTTGCAGTAACAGTAAGAGACAATCCACCATCACACTTTCACTTTTCTCACCCAGCTTGTCTCACAAATTGAAGAGAAAAAAATATGAAACGGAAGTTTTTGAAGCGGGGGGCTAAAAATGGTAAGCCATAACTATTCATAGCAGCTCTTTCAATTTTGAGTTGAAATATACATATGAATCAATTTACATTTTGGGTAACTAGATATACTTCTCCATCCATTGCCACTTGACTTTAGATAGGACTTCCCTCAGTTAATAGTAGAATTGCTGATATATTTGTTTGCTGTGTGAAAGGAGGTTGGCTCTTCACCCAAATAGTGATAAAGAAAGAGGTGGTAATGGACATATATCTCTCTACTTGAAGATTGTTGAAACAAATACTTACTCTTCGGATGATGGTAGATGTTAATTTCAAACTATTTGTGCATGATCATATCCGAGACAAGTTTTTTTTTAGCAGCAAAGAGAAGAATTTTATCATTTATAGAGTACAAGGAGTACTCTGAACCCAAATACAACGTAAGCTTAAATTAGAATGTAATACACTCCAATTCACAGCTTACATTATTCTTTCCCTTTATGATTCGTTACCCGACATTTCTTGTTGGCCTTCCATATAAACAGGTCACTGGTTGTATCACCCATTCCGTGAACGAAAATGAATGACCCTCCACCATTTCTTTAACCCATTGAAAGTAGTGGACTTGGACTAAATCAAACAATTTTTCCACATCCATGGGTTCTTTGTTAAAAATCCTGGCATTCCTTGCAAGCCATAACATCCATACTAGAGCAAACCATACTGTTTCCCACCCTTGCCTAACTTTCCTGTCTTTAGATAGTAATGTTGTTGAAAGGCCTCCCTGCAGTTTTCATGCAAAACATACTGAATTCCCCTCCATTTAAAGCAAAGCTCCCATAACTTTATGGCTACTTTGCATTGTAGAAATATATGGTCTATGTCTTCTAAAGGAAATTTGCAAGCCCCACACGCAAGATCATTGTCATGGTTAGGCACCCCCCCTACATCTATCAAGGTAGTTTTCCCTAATTTGATATACAAGTATCAAATAGGTACCCTACCATCTGGCGCTTGTTTATTATTCACTAGTAGTTTTACTTACTAATTAACTTTTTGACTTGTTTCTCATTAAAGATTACAATGGCAAGGTCAGAAGGTTTCGTGTAATGAGAACGGAATTGGGATTTCCAAAATTGCTCTGCCTTGAAGATTTCAACAATGCCTCTAACGGATTTCTTTTTGGGGATACCTGCCTTTTTGGGGCAGAGGTTTTTGTCGTAAACCATACTGGCCATGGGGAGAGTTTATCAACTAAAAAGAGTACAGCGAACAGATAAACTTGGAAAATAGACAAATTTTTGCACCTAAACGCAAAAAAAGTTGAGTCTAACTGGTTTACTGCTGCTGAACATAAATGGTAAGCTCACGTACGTTTCGCCTTATTTGTGATGTTTATTCAATTCTAGCTTTCTAACTTAATTTCAATCTAAGCTCTGACAATGCTACCATAGTATCTCCTGAATCCTTATTATGCAGGACTTTAGTACCGCATCCATAAGGATATTCAAGAGGTTCGGGGAGTGCTTGTCTATAATTTTAGTGTTAAAAGATCCTCCTGAGGGAATACTTGTATGTGCTCAGTTCACACTGCTGATTAGAGACCAAGTCAAAGGAAAACATGTGTCGTATTCAGTTGAACAAAATAGATATTAAAATTAGTGTATATTAGTCTTGATTAAAAGAAATTAAAATTTTAATTCAATATTCAAAAATCTTATCAATTTATAAATCTAAATATCAATATTTAATAAGATAATTTTTTAAGTTTTGAATTAAATTTTAATTAAATAAAATAACATAATTTAAGGTTATAACTTCAATTATTTTTAAAAGTCAAAACTGATATATACTTTTTCCATATATATTTACTTCCTTTTTAATTTTTAGAGAAGTTGGGGGTTTTGGTTTGGGGAGATAAACACCCATCCTAGGTGCCAGGCTTTAATTTGCTCTTTATTATCTTTTTATTTTCCTAAACGGTACATTAGCCATTTAGTCTCTGTATTGGAGTAGAAGTGTTTCTTGAAAATGAAAATAATTCTGGAGATGAGGAGCGTTTGTCAATGTTAAAGACTGAAGATGAGGATTAACTCGGGAAATTGACAAACTTTTCTCTCTTGAAAGAGAAATTGATTAGTTCTAGGAATTTCATTGCTGCCAGACAGCAATGATATACTATATATTCTCCTTTTTAGTCATGACATTGTTCTCAAACAGGTTAAGATTCTTGACATATTACTAAGGTTTCTGTTTTATCGTCTAAGGAGTTCATAAAAGATCATTTTTGTCTTCTTCTGCAGCTGCTGAGGGCTGAGTGGTTTTTGAGCTCAAGCGAAAGTTGGGGTTACTTAAACTTCGTGCTGCTGAGCTATCTTACGCACCCAATAAAAGGTGCAGATAAAAATATGAATTTTGTCATTTTTTAATTTCAAGATATGAATTTTATTTATTTTTAAATAAGATAATAAATTTTTAATTTTTTATTTGAGGATATTAACTTTGTATTTTTTTATCTAAGAATGCTAATTTTGCATTTTGTCTATTTAAAGATTTTGATATGATGGTTAAAAAAGTTATTTGTCATATATGGTATCATCGTCAAATTAATCTTTAAATAAAAGAAATAAAATCAACATACTTAAATAAAATAATTAAAAGTTTACTATATTATTTAAAAGCAGATAAAGTTTATATTTTTAAATTAAAAAAAGGACAAATTTTGTATATTTATATGCACATTTTCTCTTATATACCCATCAAAAGGTTTCCTAGTGAATGATACTTTAATACTTGAAGTCAAGGTAGATGCTACGTCTAGTTTCTTCAAATTCACTTGAACTGTTGAGTTAGAATGTTTGTTGGAGTTCTGTTATTACCTGTTCTAGACCATATTAAGTTTGATGTTAGCTTCCAAAACATTGTTAATTAACTTTCTCAAAGTAGAATACAACAAGGGCGCGCTATGAATCTTTTTTCTGATTTATTTATTTATGTTTTTTAAGTTTCCGGAAATAGCTTTCTCCTCTTCCATGCAGAAGTAAGGAATTTGTGCTTTACCCATGGCGCCCAAGCTTCTGCCCCCATCTCCTCAAGGAATTGATGCCGCGGGTGGATTTGAAGGAACCTTCACTTCAATGCTGATTCCATTTTTACCTGTTATAAAAGGGGAAGACTTGTGCTTCTTTTTGATCATCACTTCGGGGTTGAATCAAGAAGCTCTGTGCATTCTGGTAAGCTCTGCTTTGAGTTTTTGGATGATTTCTTTGTTTCAATACATAATTTTGTTAACAAAATCACAGAAGGTCCATTGAGTAGCGCTTTGGGACAAACAAAAAGTCACTTCAATATGCTTCTTTCTTTTCTTCAAGTATGAACATCCCTAAAAAAAATTAGTAATCTTTCTTTTCCTATCTCAACCAAGATCACGATCCTATGGCTTTTGGGGCTATTATAATTCATTTTGAGTTTTCTTTCCTCTTAAATTGGTGATCTTTTTTTCTTTTTCTTTCTTTCTTTCTTTGCATCTAATTTTGAATTTTGTTGTTGTAATGCTTAGGGTTGCACAGTTTTAAGTTAGGTGTTTGGTCTGATTTCTTTTTCCTTTTCTGGAAATGGTAATACAAGTGATGCATCTCTAATTTTCTCCTAGCTTGGGAATTTGGCTTTTGAATGTCCATCTTATCATGTTTTCCCCATTGCTTAGACATACATCTCTCCCTAAATTTCTTGAAAGCAATCACTGCAGAAGGGTCAAGTGCATTTCCAACTCTCTACTTTAAAAAAAAAAAAAAGAAGGTTGCTTCTATCGTCCTATTAAAAAGTGCGCCCCCCCGGCTGTAGAGAGACAAATGGCTCAATTTTTTTGTTTTCGAAATTAGAGAGATAAAAAATATATTCAACCGTTTAAATTTTAAAAACAAGTTAAGCATATCATTAGCTGTGTTAAAAAGAAGCAAAATATGTCCTTTTTTTTATTTTAATAACATAAGCATTTAAATTTTTTATTTAACTAATTTCATGAATACTTATAAATTACCTTCTAAAATATGCTAAATAATCCATTTTCTATAGAGGAACAAAAATGTTCTTTCTTCTTCACTTTTAAAAGTAGAGGAACTAAGTTTGTGCTTAACCCACTGCAGAAATCTTCTTGCGGTTGTATACACGCATCGTTAAAAATGGAAGTTGGGAACGAAGGTTCACTCTTCACATATTTGAATTTTCTCTCTTTTATGAATCATTTTTTCAGTTTGAACTTGATTTGGAAAATTAAAACTTTTTACTGAAATATTTTTACATGTCTGTGATAGACAAATCACCGATGCACTACTTATTAAAGGTAAAGTCATTCTCCCAACTGTCAGAAGTACTTTCAGAAACTACAGAGAAAAGATGTGAATCTACAACCTTTGTAGCAGGGAGATATAAATGGTCAGTTTATTTGATTTAACTAGAATAATATTTCCATTAACCATTGTACAGGGTTATTTATTCTTATTTGTTGATGTATAATGGTGTTTAATTTAATTTTTAAAAGGAAGCTGGTTCTTTACCCAGTCGGTGACCGTGCAAGAAATGGGGATGGACATATATCTCTCTACCTAATGATTGTTGAAACTAGAACTTTACCTCGTGGATGGACTGTACATGCTAATTTCCAATTTTTTGTGTATGATCATATTCAAGACAGGTTTTGTACCTTTGGAGGTATGGATTTTTCTTCGTGTCTTGATAATCAAATATAAGTTGATTCTATCATATAATATAAACTTGATATAAGTTAGTTACCTCTTGATTGCTGTTTCTAACAATTGTGTTTCATGACGTGAAGGTTCCGATGCAAAAATTAGCTGTTTTCATGCCATGAAAACTGAATTAGGATTTCCAAGATTACTCTCTCTTGAAGATTTTAAGGACCCCTCTACAGGATTTCTTGTTGGGGACACATGTTTTTTTGGCATACAAGTTTTAGTTCAAGACTATATTGAAAATCTAGAATGTTTGCCAACGTCTAAAGGTGAAGACAAAACATTATCCTGGAAAATTCGACACTTCTCTGAGCAAAATGAGGAAATGATTGAATCTGAGAGTTTTATTGCTGGAGGATTTGAATGGTGCACACATAATTAGTAAAATGCTACTTTCAACAGTTTGTTTTACTGTCAATAATATTCCTGAACCAAAACTTCAATCTCTCTCTCTCTCTCTCTCTCTCTCTCTCTCTCTTTCTTTCTTTAATTTTTCTTCTCTTTATTTAGGGTTGTGCAGCTATATCCAAAAGGAGATCCAATTTCTAAGAGAAACTCTGGAGGACATTTATCAATATATTTGAAGTTAAAGGATAGCACTGCTGAGAGTGAACTAGCCTGTGCTCGGTGTTCGCTGGTAATAAAGGACCAGTACTATGACGACCATCTGTCCTTTACAGGTGAGGCGGCATGGTGAACTGACTTCCTTCTCAATTTAATGGTTGAAGTTTTGTTAGGATGATAATAATTTCTTTATATATATATTTATCACTCACAGCTACTGCTATTGGCTCTAGCTTCAAGTATGGACGGGGTTGGCCTCAGTTCATAACCTTGAGTCGTCTTCAGAACCCAGCTAATGGTTTTCTTGTAGGTGATACGCTAATAGTTGAAGCTAAGGTGGAAGCTATTTCCAAATTGCAGAACTCCTGAAGTGTGGACCATGATGTGAGTATTTAAGGGAGCTAAATAACATTGATGACAGCAGTATGTCTAATCTCATGTGAATATTGTTAAATAAAAGTTCACGTACAATCACTGATGTTAGGTACTTTATGAATAATATGAATATTCTGAAAGTTTATTCCTATCACCCTGCAGACCATAAATGGCTAACTGGATTTTTTTCAGAATAGTTTTAGCTAGGTTACGGTTTCTGCTAATTTTCCGAACACGCAGCATGAATCTCTAAGGACCTATTTCCATTTTTTGCTTTCTTGCAAAAAAATTTAACAATTCTAAATTAAAATTAAAAAAAATAAATATTAAGAAAAAAATTAATTTTGGTTATCAATTTTAAAAATTGCCAAAAAGGTTATACTTTATATATATATATTTGGTTATACTTTATATTTAACAAGTTGTCTATTATTCTATTTAATAATAATTTTTAATTGTTAAATTTAATAATCATTTAAATTTTGGCAATGAAAACAAAAGGAGTAACCATTACATTTTTAAATGGGCTCTAAGAATCAGACCTTGCTTTCAATGCATGCATATGCCCTTTTGACCTTTCCTTTCCTGCAACTAAGCAGCCTAGACCTCTTGGTCCAATGGAAGCGCACCCATTCCCCTTATTGGTTCAAAATTCAAATCCCCCCAACCCAAAAATTGGAAGTTACATGAGCCATCCTTATTTTGTAAAGGGTAAGAAGGGGCTTTGAGTGGTTGAGGGGGTTTGTATTGTATGTGTTTTGCTGGTAACCTACTTTGAGGGCTTAATTCTTGCCCCACTTAAAAACAAAGAGCCCTATTTTTCACAACTCACAAGTCAGTAGTCACAAAACCTCTGCCGTTTCACCACCATGGAAAGGGGCAGGAAAAGTGCAGCGGAAGAACCAGCAAGCTACATGGAAATACCAACGGAAAACCAAGGTGAGCTGTTTGTAAAAGCAGCAAGCCTGGAAATTTTTTTGTTATTGTTATTTAAAATCCATTTATTCATTTCCTGTACTAGGAGAAGATGGGTAGGAAAGGGACCAGGGGCCAGGGCCAGGCTTAAATTTGTTTTTCATTAGCTTGTGGTGTGATCTTTCTTTTTTTTTTCATTGAATTGCATTTGGTATTCTTTCTTTCATGTGTACAGATGAGCGGCAAGCTTTTCCTTTCATCATCCTGCTAATTTTAGTTGCATATCATGTTCTTCTGGTGTAACAATGGAATGTGTTTTATAATTTTCTTGGGTAACACGAAATTGGATGGAATTTCCAAAAAAAAAAGGTTGAAAAGTAAATGAGTTTGATACTTTCCATGAAATAATCTTAATTTTACTGTTCTTGAGAGAGGACCAAGTGGTTAAGAGTTTGAAATTCCATATTAGAGATTTTAAGTTTGAATCTTAGGAGATGTGCAAGAGGGTTTAGAAAGGAAAGGTCTATCCCCTGTTGTGTAGTCTATCATTCAATGTACCAAAAATTTTTTTTAATTTTACTAATGATGAACTTTATGGGAGTTCTTTGATGTTGCATTCTATTTTCTTTTGTTTTAGTGACATTAATTTGCATTTTACACAAGTTCCTTCTTTCTTCTTATGTTGTGTCCATGCCTATTATATATTACTCTAAAGTTGGGCTAACTTAAACTTCATGCTGGTGAGATATCTTATGAACCCATCAAAAAGGTTTCCTTGTGAATGATACTTTAATACTTGAAGTCAAGGTAGATGTTACTGCCTGTTTCTTCACTTGGAACTTTTGTGTCGCCATGTTTGTTGGAGTTTTGTTATTACCTTTTCTAGACCATACTATGTTTGTTGTTAGCTTCAAAAATATCATTAATCAACTTTCATAATTTTGGTGTACAAGATCCTAATTGGTCTAATGTTTTACGTTTTCTTTGATAGTTGTTTAATGTCTTAGTGGCTAGCTGGAAACTATGATTTGAATGCCATGTTCATAAAGGATTTGAAGGATTACCTTCTATATTCATGCAATAATCAATTTGAAACTCTCATCAAATTTTGAGCTATTTGATCAGGTAATTCATTGATCTCTTGATCAATTACGTTATTTATTTATTTTTTTAATGAAATTCCTCTTAATGTTGTGCTTCCTCGCATGCCACAATTTTGATCAAGTCTTGTAAATGGTCCTTTGACATACAGTTTCAAAGGAATAAAAAAAACTGCACTGAACTGAACCATGGCCTTCTTGCATCAATCCCTTGCTCAAGCAATACGCAGGAAAATAAACAATGGCTGCGAATCTTTTTCTTATTTATTTATTTATTTATATATGTAATTTTTAAGTTTCCAGACATAGTTTTCTCCTCTTCCATGCAGAAGTAAGGAATTTGTGCTTGTGGTTGCTTTACCCATGGCCCCAAGGTTCTGCCCCTATCTCCTCAAGGAATTGATGCGGCCAGTGAATTTGAAGGAACCTTACTTTAATTTTGATTCCATTTTTACCTGTTATAAAAAGGGGAAGACTTGTGCTTCATTTTGATCATCAGTTCGGGGTTGAATCAACCAGCTTGTTCTTCTTTTAAAAGTAGAGGAACTAAATTTGTACTTCACCCATTGCAGAAATCCTTTTGTGGTTGTAGACACGCACTGTTACCAATGGAAGTTGGGAATAGAGGTTCACCCTCCACATATTTGAATTTTCCCTCTTTTATGAATTATTTTTTCAGTTTGAACTTATTTTGAGAAATTAAAACTGTTTACTGAAATATTTATACATGTGGGTGATAGACAGAGCACCGATGCACTACTTGTTGAAGGTAGAATCTTTCTCCCAACTGTCTGAACTACTTTCAGAAACTATAGAGAAAAGATGTGAATCTACAGCTTTTGAAGCAGGGGGATATAAATGGTCAGTTTGTTTGATTTATCTGGAATATTATTTTTCATTGCAAAGCAGCACTTAGCTATTGTCTCAAGTTATTTATTCTTATTTGTTGATGTATAATATGGTGTCTATTCAATTTTTAAAAGGAAGCTGGTTCTTTACCCAGTCGGTGACAAAGCAAGAAATGGGGATGGACATGTATCTCTCTACCTAATGATTGTGGAAACTAGAACTTTACCTCGTGGATGGACTGTACATGCTAATTTCCAATTTTTTGTGTATGATCATGTTCAAGACAGGTTTTGTACCTTTGAAGGTATGAATTTTCTTCATGTCTTGATATATCAAATGCAAGTTGATTCTATCATATAATATAAACTTTATATTTGTTAGTTACCTTTTAATTACTGTTTCTAACAATTTTGTTTTATGACGTGAAGATTCCAATGCAAAAGTTAGATGTTTTCATGCACTCAAAACTGAATTAGGATTTCCAAGATTACTCTCTCTTGGAGATTTTAAGGACCCTTCTAATGGATATCTTGTTGGAGACGCATGTGTTTTTGGAGTACAAGTGTTAGTTCAAGACTATATTGAAAATCAAGAATGTTTGTCCACGTCTGTGCCTGAAGACAAACCATTCTCCTGGAAAATTCAACACTTCTCTGAGCAAAATGAGGAAATGATCGAATCTGAGAGTTTTATTGCCGGCTGACTTGAATGGTACGGACCTAATCAGTAAAACGTTACCTTCAACATAGTGTTGTTTCAGTGTCAATAGTATTGCTGAATTAAACCTTGATCTCTTTTATTATTATTAGTATTATTATTATTATTATTCAGGGTTGTGCAGCTATATCCTAAAGGAAATCCAGAGAGAAATTCTGCAGGAAATTTATCAATGTATTTGATGTTAAAGGATAGTACTGCTGAGAGTATGCTAACCTGTGCTCGGTTTTCGCTGCTAATAAAAAACCAGCGCTATTACAATGATGTATCCTTTACAGGTGAAACGGCATAATGATTTCCTTCTCAATTTAATGGTTGGAGTTTTGTTTGGGATGATAATAATATATCTTATATACATATATTTATCACTTACAGATACTGGTACTGGTTCTAACTTCGCACGTGGATGGGGTAGGGCAAAGGTCATACCCTTGAGTCGTCTTCAGAACCCAACTCTTGGTTTTCTGGTTGATGATACGCTAGTAGTTGAAGCTAAGGTGGAAACTATTTTCAAATTACGGTCCGTCTCCTGAAGTGTGGACTATGGTGTGAGTATTTAAGGCAGCTATCGACGTTGAAGAAAGCAAGTCTGTTTTGTCTCATGTGCATGCTGTTAAATGGTGCATGCTGTTAAATAAAAGTTCACTTTTAAGCACTGATGTAAGGTACTTCATGAGTATGAATGTGTTGAAAGTTTATTTGGTTATAATGTTAAGTAAGATTGTAAGTTTATAATTATAATATAATATTAAAAAAATATGATGTAAAATTAAATGAATATAATATAATATTAAATGAAAAGTTATATATAATATTATAGATAAATTTTTAAATAAAAAATTGATTCTATAATAATATATTATATTTTAAATTTATAATATTGTGTGATATTATAATTATAATATTTTTTTAAATTTATTCGCGTCAACCTGCTAATGCTTGATTGCTCACTGGACATTTTTCAGAACATTTTTAGTTATGGTTTCTGGTAATTTTTCGAGCACCCAACTTTAATAGCTAAGGACCCATTTCCATTTTTTGTTTTCCTGCAAAAAGTACATTATTAAATGGGCTCAAAGAATCAGAATTTGCTGTCAACATATGCGTATGTCCCTTTTCTTTCCAGCCACCAAGCAGCGCAAAAATCGTACAAGGCCTCTGGGCCCAATGGAAGTACAGCCATTCCGCCTAGCATTGTGCAATGTGCAGGGTTCAAATCCCCCAGTCACCCCAAAAATTGCAACAGTTCAAAAACAAAAAAAAAAAAAATTCACATCTTGTATTCGACCCGATAAAGATGGTATCCTAGTCATAACGATGAATATGATTGCCGAGTCATACTTGATCTTGAAAGTTTGGTCAATTACGTACCAAACTTTTATTACATTATTTACCAATAAACTTTTATTACATTGCCAAGTAGTCCCTTTTTAAGTTAGAATTAAAATAAATTTTGCAATATTCTTAATTTAATGACATGATATTATTCCATAATTAATTTTATTCATGACATGATAGTCATCCTTTTTATTGTAACCTAGTTTGAGCGCTTAATTCTTGCCCTAAGAAAAAAAAGAAAAAAGATCTCTATTTCTCATAAGTCGGTAGTCACAACCTCTGCCGTTTCACCACCATGAAAAGAGGCAGGAAAAATGCAGCAGCAGAACCAGGAAGCTACATGGAAATACCAACGGAAGACCAAGGTGAGCTATTTGTAAAAGCAGCAAGCCTGAAAACTTGTTTGTTATTGTTATTTAACATTTATTCATTTATTCATTTTTTCTAGGAGAAATTGGACGGGGAAGGGACGAGGACCAGGCTTAAATTTGTTTTGCATTAGCTTGTGGTGTGATCTTTCTTTTGTTTGTTATTCAATTGCATTTGGTATTCTTTCTTTCCTGTGAACATGTGAAAGCAGCAAACTTTTCCTTTCATCATCCTGCTAGTTTAGTACTAGTATTTCATGCTCTTCTGGTGTAACAAAATGTTCTTTTTTTCTTGAGTAACACAAAATTGGATGGAATTTCTAAAAAAGGTTGAAAAGGACATGGGTTTGATACTTTCCATGAACTTTATGGGATTTCTTTAATGTTGCATTCTATTACTAATTTCTTTTGTTTGAGTGACATTAATGGGCATTTTACACAAGTTCCTTCTTTCTTCTTATGTTGCGTCCCTGCCTACAGAAGTTGCAATATCAGTAAGAGACAATCCACCGTCACACTATATGTTAAAGGTGGAATCTTTCTCTATGCTCTCTCAACTTGTCTCACAAATTGAAGAGAAAAAATATGAAACAGAAGTTTTTGACGTAGGGGGCTACAAATGGTAAGCTATAAC